GAGACAGATGTGAGGGGTGAAATCCTGGCTTCACTGATGTAAGTGGCAAAACTTCCATGGACGTCAATGGGGCCAGGAGTTCACGCAAGGAGTGGATCTCTTGAGTAAGAAAATGACATTGAACTTGGTCCCTTTTCAGTGTGGCATGGCACTTTCCAGTGTTGCCACCTCTCACAATTTTGTCACAAGCATTGCAAGATTCAATGTTTTTCTTAAAGCCCCAGCTTGTGGAGTCATGTGACAGTGTGAGAACCTCAGTTTTCATTTAATAAAAATCCTTTGAGCTCTCATGGTTTAGAAGAAAAGCTTGAAACGTGACCCAAGTGCACCCTGAAGGCCTAGAAACGGTTTGAAACCTGATCTGATTTTCAAATGCTTATGTTGCGTAACATTGTACATAGTCACTTTTCAGAGCAAAAGAGCACTGGAATTCCCAAGACTGGAAAATCCCAGCTCTCTAGTGAAAGGCACTGTCATTCGGGGGACATATCAGTAGAGTCCATAACTGTGATACGCCTACTAACCATGGAATTGGGTTTAAGAACTCCACTCCGGTAAAAGCACATGGCATGTGAACCGACTCAAACGGCTGGGTTGTCAGCTTGCTAAAATAGCTTATGCGGAGGTGCTGACAAAAACATACCCTCATTGCAGTCCAACACCTTCAGTCCTCACAGGGTTATCAGTGACGTTTGACTTTGAAGCATTTTTCACTTGCTGCCAAGAGCCATTCCACTTGGACTATTTGCTTTCACATGTTTTCCCTTTGACCTGGGTGCTATTTCTTTGTCATATGTAAACACTCAGCAGGATATCCATGTTTGTTCTTTGAAAAAAAAGGGAATCTATGTCACAACAATATGTAAAAATCAACACTAAGAGACTGCCTTTCTCATTTACAATTTCAAGGTTGTTTTTCTGTGTTGTTTTCCTGCCTGTTTTCTCTCTATTTAACCCACTTTCTGGTCTCTTCTCAGCACCCATCCCATATAGCAGTAAAATTCATTACTGTTGTCAGCAACACAACACTCTTACTGTCACTCTGCAGAGGAGTCCTTTGAGACTAGACCTTCGCAGTGGCCTGCCTCTGATTACAAAGCCACCAAAGTGTCTTTTTTTATTTGTGCCACTACTGCTTTGGCTGAGGTCAGGATGAAAATTCTCGCTAAAAACAAAGCAAGCTGCCATAGCTTACTATAACAGCACTCCCTAAACTGACCTGCACTCATGGTGCACTAGGAATTTAACCCAAACTGTTAACTGCGATCGCTTCAAAGTTGCCCAGGAATTTAGCCATACAAATCCCATTAAAGTAAACAGGAACTAAAGTCATTGCAAGTATTATGACAATAATCCTTGGGCAACTCTGAAAATGCAGGACCTGATTCTGAGCTCACACTGATTTTAGCGTCATCGGGTCTCATCTTCCACTGTCTTTGTGCTTTATGTAGTCATTTACACACAGGCAAAACAAGCCTAATCCTTGTGTAAAACTGCCATAGCTTTACTGACTCAGTGAAGCTCCACTGATTTATACCAGCTGAGTATCAGTACCCCCAGCTTTCTCCCCATGACTGCTCAGAAGTCAGTAGATTATTTACTCTTCCGAACTACTTCCATCTTTTAAGGAGAATGAGGGCTTGTCTACATGTACAGCTGCACTACTTAAACCTCAGATGTGATTTTAAACCAGTTTTGCTGAACCAGTACAAAAGTCTGTGTGAACCCTAATTTCAGTTTAAACCAATCTCATTTTGGTGCATTTTAGAGTGATTAGGAACAAACTACTCTTAAACCAAAATAAAAGTGTGCAAACCACTGTTTGCACTAGTTTAACTAAACTTGTACAAGTCTGTGTGTAAAGAAGTCCTGATTCAATCAAAGCAGATAAAATAATCATAACACTATGTAGCAATATGATTAAATAGGGGAAAATCTGTATTATTATCAAGAGGACATCTCACGTGCAAACGTTTTTTACATCACTTAGGCTTGATTCCACATTCCTAGCACACTCCATATTCCTCCCAAGTCTACTGGCAAAGATTGGTTGAGCTAGAAATGCAGGATTGGTTCTATATATTACTCACTTTGGATAGAAGCTTTTCGGGCCTGATCCGAATCCTCCTGAAGTTAATGGGAGTCTTTGACCTTAACAAGATTTGGATCTAGCCTTTAACGTGCAGCAGTCAGCCTTACAATGAAAGAATTACTTGAGTGGATTTCATTGATTCTTCACCTCTTATTACACATGAAAAAAGTTGCCCTGCATTCCTCAACCAAATTTGGCTACCGAACAAGACTTGGAGAACTCATGTAACTGCTGGTACAATAAAAAAATAATTTGGCACAGAAAGTATGTGTTATCCTTATTTATTTAATAAAGAAACATAGTAAACTTGGCTTTTTCCAGATACAAATAGCTTAGTATGTCCTGTGATATTGGCTGAAGTTTTAATGTGCTCTTTTTGTAGTTTGATGATTCATGCTGTACTCTTTATTGAGCAAATCCGCAGAAAATGACAGCACCCCCTCATGCTTATAATCAGTATGCACTGTCTATCAAGTCACTAACTACAATATCACTACACTGGGAGGTTGTACCACTGATATATTGTGATCGGTATCTCCTTTAGTAAAGACTTGCAGGTCAGGTACTTGAAGTTTTTAAGGGAGTCCGACATCTAATACAAATGCAGCAATTACAGTTCAGTTCTCAAGAAAGGTTCCAGAAACCAATAGAAAAAATCCAATAGAAATTTTTACAAAGTCCATTTTGAACCTAATTTACAATTTATTTTTAGAAAGTTTACTGTAAATATCTATAGTGAAGACCCTCTTTCAGACTCACTTTTTTACAGCTTTGGGGTACAACATAGTATAGTTTGCAATTGTATTGATATGGTAGGGTCTTGCAGTAATTAAAATGATGCTCATCTCAGGGGTCCACTGATTGCTGGAAGAGCTTTCTTGTAATATAATCAGTGGCCAGCTAATTTTTTTAATCACAGCATTCTATTATTTGGCTTCGGTGTTATTTATAGTATATTAAGAAGTTACATTTTAATATATCTGCTAAAGCAAGTAACAAATAATTAAAAATAATAACAAAATAGTGTGAACAACCTATCACCGCATCATGTAAGCTATTCAGTCTTTGGTCTAAAAATAGGATTTTTTTTGTATATTAAGAAATTAGATGAGCAATACCCATTCAATTAGCATTTTTCCTCCCCCATTTTGTTCTTCAATTTTGAAAAGAAAATAATCCTACTAGTTGTCAATTAATAAATGTGGTTTTGTTTGGCATGCATGTGTATTTACTATTTCGTTCAGTTAAGAGGCAGCAGCTCGTTTCTAATGATCAATAATTCTCTTTCAAGAGAAAAAAATTTAATCAGTAAGTCATGTTGTTTGAGTGTCAGCCATTCTAAAAACTTGCATGATACACACATATAAATATAAAATATCACATATTCTTTCTGGGTGATATGTACAATCAGTATAATATTACAGCATAAATTACACAAGGAATCTGTGGAAAGGTTCTCTAACTTGAGAAGTCATGAGCAAAATTTATTGGGGGGAGGGAGAAATTCCACTCTGAAAAACACATTTGGAGTAGTTTCCTTAAGTTGGAATCTAATTACATACAAGATTCAAAGGCAACAAAATCCCAGAAGGAAAATCTCTATGGTGTACACCATAAAGAGGGGGTTAGGGGAAAAGAGAGAATGATTATAATAATACTTACAGAGTGCCTTTTACCCTCAGAGTGCTTTGCAGCCATTAATTAAGTCTTACAACACTCCTGTGAGGTAGATAAGTATTATTATCCCCATTTTATAGATGGGTAAACTGAGGCACAGAGAGGTTAAATTATTTACCTAAAAATCACACAGCAAGAATCAGGAACAGACCTGACATCAAGTCCCCCGAATAACCAATCGACCACTCACAAAACTGAATGCCTGAGACACCTCTCATTGGATGAAGAAAAATTCATTAACCTATATGTAGTCATATTATTTTATGTGTTTTCTTCACATATTCTGACTCATTTTGTCAACAGATGATGTGGTCACAGGAAAATTTCAGTGTAACATGGTCTTGTTGCTGGATAGCTAAGATTCTCAGTAACAACCCCACGTGGATTTTGACACCTTTATAATCCAGAATGTAACTAAATGTCAACTACAGTACACTTTAAATACATTCTTGATAATTCTTTTTCTGCAAGGTGAAAAACATGGCTACTATTCCTTGTGGTGCAATCGCTCATTACAGACTTCTCAGGCAAGACCTCCCATGAAGACGCACCAAACCCAAGTACCATCATATTCGAAAATAACAAAGAGAGGGCTTTTCTGTAACCATTGACTTGTCTCTTTATATTCCACAGACACTTCCTCACATTTTGCCAAGGCTGGAAGGTTGATAATAAATTACATTTTTTTTTACAGTATAAAACCACTAAAAATGTCTACTCCTAAAGCACTTATAATGGGACCCCATTGCTGTTATATGTTTGGCCTGCGACTGATTGGTATTTCACATGCAACTATTCCTCTGCCTGCCTGCAAAAAGGAAGGTTCCCCAGTAATCTAAACACAGCCTCCAGTAAAGTGAAAGACAGAAACCCAGAAGGGATTCTATATATCAGAACTTTTGTACAGACCCTCCCACCCCATTGATAACACTGTAACAACCCTCCCGCACTGCACAACCTGCACCAAAGCATTAGAGAGTAATGTTGATGCATAGCACTTACAGTAAGGGGGAGGGATAGCTCAGTGGTTTGAGCATTGGCTTGCTAAACCCAGGATTGTGAGTTCAATCCTTGAGGGGGCCACTTAGGAATCTGGGGCAAAATCAGTACTTGGTCCTGCTAGTGAAGGCAGGGGGCTGGGCTCAATGACCTTTCAAGGTTCCTTCCAGCTCTATGAGATATAGGTATATCTCCATATATTATATTATATTAAGCATGCTTTGCTCCATGTCATTGGAGAAAACATCCTATCCCACTCACTTAACAGAAAATCTATCTGGATACATAGTGCTTTGGGGCACTTTACATCAGATTACAGGGTCATAACCTATTTCTAAGAGAGTTTGATTACAACAAGCAAAGCATATTCTTGAAACATACTAAAAAATTAGTATTTTTATTAATTGTTTTACAAGCAGCATCCATTACTGTCTGATTTCCTGTAGGGTAGAACAAGCCATTTCTCTTTTTATTATTTGACATCACTTTCTTCCTCCTCATTTTTTTTTGTATTACTGATGACAAGCAGTTACATGTCCCAAAGGGGAGGTCATATTGTAATAAACAGTTATATGTTGTTGATTAAATATTTTATTTTGCAACAACTTTCCTCTGTGACTGACAGGTGTCCCACCAATTATTGTTACCTTGGTTCAGAGTTTAACATGTCGGGCGTAAGGATCATCTATCTCCATGGAAAAAGAGACAATTATTTGATTTAAGTAAAAAAATATCAAATATAATAAATTTATGAAAGACCATTCACAACATATACAGTAAGTGTTACATTTTGCTACAGCAGCTGTGATATATTTTTTTTTCTTTTTAGAATGCAAGGTCATACATTGCCATAAGTAAACACACTAATATGAGTAAGACCTTCAATGAATGTTTACAGCCTGGCTTTATCTGTGGATAGATATACACTGTGTTTACTGTTTTACAGTCTAGCAGATTCATAATCACACCACTGATATAACAGCTATGACCCTGCACAGATTCTTCCTGTGCATATATAAACATTGAGCAATGGTGAAAAGAGCAGGGTCAAAGGTTATAACATATCGACTCCCATCGTTAAGGGTAAAAACTCCATTGTTTATTTTGCAACTAATATTTAATAAGAAGGCTGCGTCAATTGTTGTGTAGTTACAGCGTTACATTCTGTAAACAATATTTTAAAGCATTCTAAACAAACATTTAGACAATTGATTCTTTATCTCTGTCTGGAGATAGCAGATAATATACAGGTTCATCACTTTTGCTAGAGTCTGTCACCTTTAGCTGGAGGTTGTCACTAGTGGCTCTGGTGACACTGTCATAGGATGGAGGGAAAGATGTTGAGGACACAGTTTCTGATTTGTCTATTGGCCTACCATAATTTTCATTCATCATGAATGCAATGAGACCGTCTTTCTCAGGTGCCTCATCTTCAAGCATGTTGCCATCACAAGCCTGATGACGGTATAAGAAAGAGGCCTGCTTCAAGGAGCGTTGAAACAAATGACTCCTGTAGGCCCTCTGGATAATAATGGCAGAAACCTCCTCTTGTTTCCGTCTGAGTGTGGTTGTGATTGGTTCATAAGAAATTTTAGATGGATTGGCAGCCATAAACTTTTCCTCCATCTGTATTTTAAGGGCATCCATTTCCCCAGTTTCTCCTAGTACCCGTTTGGTAAAAGCAAATAAAATATCCAAGCAGTGGATCCTATCTCCGCTGACCATGGGAAGGTCCATGGCTATGAGTTTAATTTTGTTTGGTTTTGCTATGCGTAAAGGTTCTGCCAGAGCATCTGCAAAGTCTGAAAGCACAGAATACTCAATAAATTGAGTCGCTTCAGGATCAAACCTCTCCCAGATTTCATAAAACATATCGAAGTCATCTTCGCTTAGAGGCTCTGTACTTTCCTCAGTGGCTACGCTGAAGTTCTCTAAAATAATGGCTATGTACATGTTTACAACAATGAGAAATGATATAATGATATAAGTAACAAAGAATAGAATCCCTACAGCAGGGCTTCCACAGTCTCCCTTCGAACCATTTGCATTTTTTAGGTTCGGATCACAATATGGCGGTCCAGTGTTTAAAATAGGATTGAGAAGACCGTCCCAGCCAGCTGAGGTTGTAATTTGGAAAAGACAGAGCATGCTGTTAGCGAAGGTTTGGAAGTTGAACATGTCATCAATCCCATTCTCCTTTTTAACATAGGCAAAATTAGCCATTCCAAAAATGGCGTAAATAAACATGACCAGAAAAAGAAGGAGGCCAATGTTGAACAGAGCAGGAAGGGACATCATTAAGGCAAAAAGGAGAGTTCTGATTCCTTTGGCTCCTCGTATAAGTCTTAGGACCCTGCCAATCCGAGCCAAGCGAATGACTCTGAAGAGTGTAGGAGAGAAAAAATATTGTTGAATGATGTCGGAAAGCACGGTACCTTTAAGAAAAAAAGAAACAAATAACCAGTTAATACATGGGCAACAATTCTAGATGTTCTCATAAAATGGTAATTCCAGATTACCAACAAGAACCATTAACATTCCCCCAACTGTCCTACTAACTGTGTCTTTGCCTTCTCCTAGAGCAGCGGTTCTCCACCAGGGATCCGGGTACGCCCTGGGGGGCTGTGAGCAGGTTTCAGGGAGTCCGCCAAAATAAACCAGAGATCAGGGCCAGTGTTAGACTTCCTGGGGCTCAGGGCAGAAAGCCAAAGTCCAAGCTACTTGGGGCTGAAGCCAAAGCCCGAGTAATTCGACTTTGCAGGGCCACAGGCAATTGCCCTGCTTGCTACCCCCTAACGCCAGCCCTGGCTTTTAATCTACTGGATATGCAGAAAAACAGTTGTTGTGGCACAGGTGGGCTGTGGAGGTTTTTATAGCATGTTGGGGGAGCCTCAGAAAGAAAAAGGGTGAGAACCCCTGTCCTAGAGGAAACACAGCTAAGGGGCTGATGGATTGGTTAGATTTCATGCCCAATCAATCCTCAGGCTCTTTGTTGAGTCTACAGACAAAGATGTCAACGAAAGGGATAGTTTTTATGATGTGGACACCTGCTTATTACAAACTGGGACTGAGATCACCAGTTCAATTAATACAGGCCACAAGTAGTTATAGCTTTCAGTCACTACCATTTGAGCCATTGCTCCTGAGGTGAAAGACTATAATACCCCAGTGTTCATCCCCCCCTGACGAAATTTACTTTGACAAAAAAGTATAAAGTAACATGAATATCTTTAGGAGATATGAGAGTTAAATGCTGGTTTTAATGGAAATAATCTCTAGAATGTTCCTTAGTTACTTTTGTTCATTTGATCAGTCATTCGTCTCAAATTGTATCATTTTCCCAATTGTTACTTTCTTTTTAATTGGCAGTTCATACTCAGATTGTAAACTCTCTGGGGCAGGGACTGTTGTTTTATTCTGTGCCCGTACATCACCTAGCATAACAGGGTTCTGGTCCATGATTGGGTCTGCTAGGCACTACTGCAAAATACAAATAATAAATAATAATAATGGCCCAAGTGGCTTTTGACTTTTCCTCTTACACCCTGACGCATTGCAACTACTAATCCTCTGACTGCCATTTCTCTAACACACCCTCCTGTGTTCCTATCAGCCACTAAATGCCCGTTGAAATCAATGCCAGGGCATGTGAGGGTGTTACTTATTACTTTCAGCAGTGTGGCATGTATGTTCTACTGGATGTATCTGTTATGTTCAGCATACCCAAACTCTCTACCTTTGCCTGGTCATGCCACATTTGATTGTTATGCGGTGTTATTTCGATATGATTTAAATATAATTAAAATATTTAGGAACCAATCCCGTAAGTGGCTCTCCCATTGGTGGAACTGAGGGTACCCAATGCCTAGCTGGAGGTGCTCAGCACCATATTGCAAAAAGCATTTAATACAGTCCAAACACATCTCTGTTTCCACCTTTTATTTGTTCAGTTTTGGCAAAAAGACTTCTCTGCCATTGAATGTTACCTACCCACAATGGATAGAATCACAACAACAAAATCAAATATGTTCCAGCCATTGGTGAAATAGTAGTGTCTTAAAGCCAACATTTTGATGCTGCACTCTGCTGTGAAGATGGCAACGAAGAGCATGTTGATTTTATGAAGGATGTTCACTTTTTCTAGACTCTGGTCATCTGTTTCCACCATCATGGTGACCATGTTAAGGCAGATGAGAATCATGATGGAGACATCAAAGGCTTGTTTGGTGACTATGTCAAAGATAAAACCTTGGTATTTGTTCTGAAACAAATAAAAGGATCATTAGTGTTAGTTATGAGACTCAAATCATATAAAATGATGATATCATTCCCTCCCCTTGCAACTGGAATCCCGAAGAAAATATGTCACAGTTTCCACACGGGCCATCGTAAATGTAAAGGGGGTGATGGATTGGTTGGATTTTCATGCCCATTCAATCCTAAGGCTCTTTGCTGAGTCTACCAACAATCATGCCAATAGTAGTGGTAGCTTTTATGAATGGTAACTTGTTTATTACAGATTGGGACTGAGATCCCCAATTCATTTAAAACAGGCCACAATAGGTAATGGTGTTACACCGTTCATGAATTTGACCCCAAATCATCATTGTAGTGCAGTGGTGATTATAAGACACACAATTCACTACACTTTCAAACAATGGCTGAATCAAACAAATTATATTACAAAAGGGGCATTTTTTCCCAGGAGATTGTATTCACTCGATGAAAGACATTCGCTGAATATACATATTTCAATTGGAATAACCTAGATATTCTCACCACTGGCCTTGGGATGGGTTTTTGGGGTTTCTTGGAGCCCAGTTTTTTCATTGCATTATAATACTTTTTCTGTTCCTCTGTCATAAAGATGTCTTGCCCACCTAAGTATAGAGAGATAAAGCTGCTATTACTTTGGTTGAATGATAAGTATTATTGCAATGTAAACTAAGTTTGAGGTATTGGGAGTCTCCATCCTTTTCTATTTTCTTCCTTTGGGAAGGCATGTGTCCCTGAGGCACAATTAATCCCTGAGGTCCCCCTAGGCTGGTGCTGTTAACACTGCTTCCTGATTAGTGTGAGCACAATCTAACTTCCAGTGTTTTCAGAGCACTGGCCCTGCGTAGCGATAAGGGGCTGCTGCAACTGTGAATTTGTAAAGTAACGCAAGATGGTTTCTAAGGATATTCTGTTAATCGAGATGCTAGACTGGCTGTGCTGCTGCTTCTAAATCCATTCCTACTGCCCCTCCATATAGCAGTCACAAGGGGCTATACAGCATATACAGTACTTATCTTTTTCTTTTGTTGGTTAAAATTGTCAATAATGACGCCTATGAAGAGATTCAATGTGAAGAAAGACCCGAAGATGATGAAAATCACAAAGTAGAGGTACATGTATAAATTATATTCCCATTCAGGTTGATCCTCACACTGCAAATATCAAAGGCAAATGTAAAAAGAAGAGGGAGAAAAACTGTGCCATCACCACACACATCAAAAGATTAAACATAAACTCACTCAATAACACAGAAAATATTATAAAAGTTAAGTACCCATTCAGTGTTTAAGCATTCAGTGCTTGCCATTAAAAGGTCATCATTGATATCTCAAATACCACGATCATTTCAGTTACACTTTATAATACTGTCATTATGATCATGTCATTACACTGTATTTTCAGTGTAAATATAGAGTGTAATTCATGTACTTAATCTTTGGTTAGAAGATTTTGTACTGGGTGCATGTATTAAAAAGTGCAACTTCAGAATATATCCACTGTAATGCATTCAATATGAAATAAAAAAGGGGAACAAATAAACAAATCAATCAATCTTCTGGCTATACTCCTGCTTATATGAACTGGTGGTAATCACGGATATTAATAGAATAACTGTTACGAGAGAAATTGATTTGACATAACAACAGTGATCTTGTGCACTTAGCCACCATAAGCTGGAAGCGAGGGCACCACAGAGTCAGGAAAAATCTGGCCTTGGCTTAGGCAGCAGAACAAAAACAGCTACACAGTTGCAGTGTTACTAACTAAGGTAGATAAAGTGAAAGGACAGATTCATGAAAATGGGGATGGGGGAAGTGGGGGAATGTGAATGGCTGACCTTGGTTTGGGTGGGCCTGCATTTGTAAGTTTTTTGCTGAAGTTGCTTTGCTGATAAGTAAAATAATGAATTATTATTCACTGTTGCTAGCAGGGCCGGCTCCAGGCACCAGCGGAGGAAGCACGTGCCTGGGGCGGCACGTGCTAAGGGGCGGCATTCTGTCCATTCTTGGGGCGGCACAGTCCGGGCGGCTTTTTTTTTTTTGCTTCGGCAGTTTGGGCAGCAGTCCAAGTGGCTTTGGGGGGGGGGGCGGCAAAAATGGGAGAGCCGGCCCATGTTGCTAGGCTGTTGCTAGGGAGATTGTTAGCCTATTATGTGCTTGGTCAAGAGAAAACGAATAAAGCGTTTAGTTAGAGTCAATTGATCCTTAGGCTTAAGTTAGAGAGTGTACTTTGGAGAAGTCTGGAAGAAGTTCTTTTGACTGGCTTTCTATGAGCTTGGGAGTGTGACAACAAAACTCCAGCTGCAGAAGGCTGGCCACCGGAATCCTGCAGCTATCCCTTGACACCACCTAGACTTTGGGTAACTATATTTGGGTGCTTCTAGACTTTTGCTAGTTTTGATGCGTGCTTTGTACTCAGTAAAAACAAGGACTTTTAAAAGAAAGCACTCTTGTGTGTACCAATCATTTATCAGATGGAGGTGCTGTGTCCCCCACTGATTTATTTCCTGACACCGCCTGGAAAACAAAGATTAGTTACCATAGCTTTGGGTTCAGATAACCCCGGGTAACCTAACCACAGTGTAATTACATTTTAATTGCAATGTAATTGCAGTGTTCAGTCACTTTAGTATAAACTACAGTATAGTTAGAGTCCATCTATTTTAAACAATACACCTTCTTTCTTTTACTAAGAATAGAAAATCATTGTGAAAGCTGTTTTCTATCTGTTGGTAAATGTTAATTTCTTTATGGTGATCACGGCATATGGATCATTCTCAGGGGTGAAAGCAGAAATAGGGATTTACCGGTACTGGGCTGGGTTGGGGCCGGCTCTGGCCCCCGGAAGGGGCGGGGATGGGGGGGGTCAAAGCCAGCCCCAGTCCGCCCTGGGGTAGCAGCAGCAGCCGGGGGCTCCGGCAGCAGTTTAAAGGGCCCAGGTCTTGGCCACCACTACCGCCCTGGCCCCTTTAAACCGCTGTCGGAGCTCCCAGCTGCCGCTGCTACCCCAGGGCTCTGGAGGCTATTTAAAGGGCCCAGGGCAGTAGAGGCAGCGGGAGCCCCGGCCCTTTAAATAGCCCTCGGAGCCCCGCCGCTACCCCAGGGCTCCAGCAGCGGGGTTCTGGCGGCAATTTAAAGGGCCTGGGGCTCCAGCTGCTGCTGGGAGCCCCAGGCCCTTTAAATTGCTGCCTGGGGAAGCCGTACCGGGGTGTACCGGCTTACTTTCACCTCTGATCATTCTAATCACAACTTCCACTTAATAAAACACATCTTGCAACAAAAAATAAGATCTATGGAAAATCTAAAGATCCATTCATCTTTGTGAGTCTCAGGTTTGTATTCACCTTTATATTGACCTTTCTGTCTGGCTTAAACAGATTGGAAAACTGAATCCTGAGACAGTATGAGGTGCAATGTAAATCGACATAGCTCCATTATGTCAATTTATGCCAGCCGAGGATCTGCTCCCTCCAAATCTCCCTCCTGCTGCAGGACAGGAGGTCAGTTAACTGTTACCTGGAAGTTATTTGTGTCCTGAGTTGGGCCCCAGGTTTTAATATTTTTAAAATATTCTTGTACACTAAATAGTTACATTTCCAAACTGATCCATAATATAAACCCCACTACACAAATGATGGCACACATCCTAGACCCATTTCAGTCACTCTACATTTCACTAGCACATTAGACAAAAATCTGCCCTAAGTTAAACTTGGTGCATCCCCAAAAAAGTCAAGTGAGTTGCATACAGGTAGTTTTGCTGTTAACCAGCCAGAATGGTGCAAAATTCAACTAAACAGGAAAGAAGGATGCAAGAAGAAAACATTTAATTTGAGTGACCTACCCCTCGTGAATCTACTGCTGCATACATAATGTCCATCCAACCTTTAAATGTTGCCTAGGAAAAAACACCACATAATTAGGAAAATCATAAGCCTATGTTCAAACGGTTACATTACTGCTTTGTGTTTTTCTGGAAAATATGATGGTAAGCACATTCATCATTGTTAATAAATTGCTTTTTTTTAAAGCAAAATATACCTATTAATTTTTGTTTACATAGGTACTTGAGATCACACTGAGGTCGTTTCCCCTTCTGGGTTCTCTTATTCATGCTATTTTTTTTTCTTTTCTTTCTTGAAATTTTTAGTGGTAAAATAATGGCTTTTAATGGAGATTTTTTTTTTTTAAACATGGCAATTAAATCTCCAGAATTCAGAATGGCTTCTTTCTGCAGGTAAGAAATTGAAGTAAATGGGAAATATCAACGTGTCACTGCAGAATAAAAATATGCCTGGTTGATTTCAGGAAAAACTAAACATGGCCTGTTTCTTGCACTTGGCTGAGCTACGTTCAGTTCAGACCTGAGGAGGTGGGAGGGAAGGGAGCTTTATCCTATCTTTGCTGCTCCCTGATTCAGAGGCTAGCAAGGGATCTATTCTGATAGCTGGGACCTGCTGGATCAGAGGCACTCTGGCCATGTCCCTTTCTCCTCATTACACCCCCTATAACCCAGACCCAGAGGGGGCGAGATCTGTCCCATTGCAGGAGGACTAAGGCCTGCTATGAGGTTACAAACATGACCTTTTCAACCATCGTCTCCCATTGCTTTAGCATTAGAAAGATTCTGAAAACTTAGGGCCCAACTACGGACCCCTTATTCATGTTGGTGAGCACTGACTCCTGTGTGCATTCACAGTGAAGCTCCCATGCTGCTCTCATGGAGTAAATCAGGGGTAACACTATGAAAATCAATAGAGTCGCATTGCAGCATAAGTAAGAGCAGCTTTGAGGAGAGTCACCGAAAGCTGTGAATGTGCAGGTGCAGATCAAGCTCAGCAGACAGGATGATGGGAAAGTTTTAAGGAACATGGGCTGATTATGGCTCTGCAGGGGGATTTTTTTTGCACTTAAACGAATAAAAGAACATTTCTAAAAAAACAAAACTGTGATTTGTGTGTCCCCGGTGCTATTAATAAGGATATGTATTTTAATAGGGACTTCCATCCTTGCTCTGCTCCCTACACTGGTTGACATACCAGGGAAGTTACAAGGCCTGGTTTTCATTTACCTTACTGCTCTGGCATTATAAAGAGGCATTAAAGTGGGTGTGAATGTAATTTAAGGCCCTTTCAAGCTGCCATTGCAGTGTAAAAGGGTCTTGGTGTAGCCCCTCAGAATGAAAATGGGGCCCACAATCCTATTTTTAGAACATCAAAATCTACTGCCATACTAAACTGACACAACATTGGGCCTAATTCTGGCCTAAATTATGTTGGTTTTACACCAGCGTAATTCCACTGAACCTGATTCTCATTTTACTTACACCAGTGTAAAGTGGGAGTAAATCAATGGATTTACTGCTTTTAAAATTGGTGTGAGGGAAGAATCAGCCACATTTACTTCCACAGCGTCACCCCAACTTACAACAGTGTACTGAGAGCAAGCGTGCAGGAGAGCAGAACCATTTCCAACATATTTTAATATCTTGAGGACACTTGGGTTGAATTTTTATTGTGGCATCTAAGCACGTAATTCCAGATAATGCTAATTGGAACTTTGTGCATGATTCCCAATGGGAATTCAGCCCTTTGTGTTCAGCCAAGTATATCCAAAGTGCTTTTTCAAAAACTCCATTATATATACTCTATTATTAAATTAAATCTTTAAGATAATGCATTCTATTCTTGCTTTTAAATCCTGCTTAGCCAACAGAAAATTCATAGAGACGTCAACACTATTTATTTTTAATGAATGTATATATATAAAACTGTACTTATAATGTTGTACCTGTTCTCACCCACTGGATAAAACAGATTAACTGCTGAAAATCAGCACCTTTTGGAAAATCTGTATAACTGTTCAGAGAATCAGAGAAGAGTTTAGAGGGCAGGTGATGTGATCCGTGGTTTCTCTGAAACAAATGATTATTTAACCCTGTCATGTTGATCCCTCTCAGCTGCGCTAATGGTTTCTTTTTTGCTGCTCTTTTTCTAATCCTGTGAAAGGCTTTCCAGTCTTCTTAGTGTCACTTTCCACTTACAGTTCAATCTGCTGTTCAGAGAGGCTGGGATTGGAGGAAATAAGAGGTCACACTCTGTCAATGACAGCAGAAAAGGCATGCTTACAAATGGATATGATCTTAACTTGCCCTGTTCTCCCAAGCTTTTATCTTCCTTAGGCATTTTATCCCTGGTATTTACAGTAAATGGGCTAGATTCCAGCCAGTGTGAGAGTGTAACATTTAGCATACAACATGGTTGTACTTAGTGACAGTGGCTGGTGAAATGATCTGATGAAGATAAAATATTATGGGACTGCAGGACTGTGATTTTATATTTTACCAAATAGTCTACAAGTGAGATAATTAAAAATCCTATTAGGCTTCTGGAAGACTTCCTTAGACACTTCATCTGCAAAGAGGAACAGCTATCAGGAATGAAAGAAACATAACACTGGGAAAGGAAATTATTTATCTGGAATTAGTAGCCACTTACATACTGAATTAAGACGTGACAAAAATCTTCATGGGAGTGTTTGTGATATTATCCTGTCTGGAAGCTATCCAAAGAAACATCATTTTCAACTGAAATTGTCATGTGATGAGATTATCTGTGGATAAACTCATCTTGGGACATGATTACATTTTGTTATTAGATTATTGGTTAGACACCATGCAGTAAATTAGCATAGGGAGAGGATAGGTGGACTGTGTCTAAATGGCCCTCAGAATATTTATCAGGCAACCAAAAGGCAAATATCTTAAAGTAAAACAAACACTTTAAATTTGGCACTAGGAGACACTCTCTTTAAATGGAGGAAGTCCAAGATAGATGCCACAAACGACTCCAATGGCTGTTTTTGAAGGCGGAAATGTTTCATTTTTATATTTTCAAAATGCCTCTTTGAACATTGCTCTTCCTAAAAAAGCATTTTAAAACTAAAACAAATCATTCAACGCCACATCAGGGTTAGTTCCTCATAGGGACACATTTAAGATGGCACCAACAAGCAAGAACAAGTTTCTTCTTCTGTTGTGCTAACTCTGTTCTATGCCCTTTTCACTGTTGCATATCTCCAGTCCATTTTATTTTATAACTAATATTAATATAATGTTATGATCATTTTCTGTGGAGGGCACTAAAGAATAATGTAAACATCAAGGTCCAATAAAGCCACACACACCTTTCATGGCATGTAGCTTTTTTACCTGAAGAGAGATTATAAAACAGGTTTGCCAAAAGAGGCATCCAATCTAGATACCTCTACCACGGAATAATGTTTTGTGACTAAGTGAACAGATCCCTAATTAGCTGCTCTACATATTTCTGCAATGGGAACATTTCTGAAAGAGGCTGCAGAAGCTGTCTGAGCTACACTTGGATAATCTAAACTAGCTAACTAGTAACAAAGCTTAATAAAGTTTGAGACCCACTTAGATAGCCTTTGAGATGAAATGGCCTGGCCTCTGATTCTCTCTGCAAAGGCAACAAACAAACGATGTAGGCAAGACCTTGGATGACTATGATCTATCTAGGTAAAACAACAGGGCGCTGCGGCTATCTAAAGAGCGGAGTCTCTTGCCTCCCTTGGCTGGAGTGTTGTTTAGGGAAGAACACTGGTAGGGGACTCATGGTTTAGATGGAAGTCGGAAATGACCTTGGGAAGAAATTTTGGATAGGGCCTAAGAAAGGAACAATGCATGGAGGGCCACCATGAGTGCCTGCAGCTCCCCAATCCTACAGACTGAAGTGACAGTCATTAAGAAGGCTGTTTTCATGGAGTGATGGTGCAATAAACATAATGCCAGAGGCTCAGAGGAAGGACCCGTTCATCCAAACTATATAGAGATCCCAGGAGTGAGGCAGTTCCTGCACCAGTGGGAATATGTGTGTTAGGCCTTCGAAGAATCTAGTCATTACATGATGTGAAAACTCATGTGTGGTCCTGGGATGTTGTGCTGATATAGCTCCCAGGTGCACCATTATAGAACGGATAGAAAGTCCTGATCTTTTAAATGACATTAAGTAATCCAGAATATTAGGAATGTTTGATTCTGTTGGAGACATACTGTGTAGATCTGCCCAAAGGGAGCCTTTTCTACTTTCCTACTTCCTTTCTACTCCGTATAAGAATGTTTTGGGTGTCTCTAGAACAAGCTCTCTCCACAGATGCCAACCAGCCAGCATTCAGACTGTGATATGTAGAGAGGCTGGGTTTGGATGTAAGATGCTCCCATTGTCCAGGGAGCCCCAGGTATGGACTCAGTGGCAATGTTACACGATAATAAATTGAAAATCTCATGAAATCCAGGTGGGCCGAGTTGGTGCTACCAGGATCGTTATAGCAGACTCTTGTTTGAACTTCCTTAGGACCCTCAGTAAAAGAGGGATCAGTGGATGTACATATATGAGACTTGGGGTTCAAGGAATGAGGAATTTGTCTAAGAGAGATCCTGGACTCAGGCCCCCCCGGAGCAGAAGGTAGGGCACTTTTTGTTTATTTTTGTGGCAAATGGGTCCATGGATGGGTGACCCTGCCTGTGAAAAGCTCTCCAAATTATGAGTCCTTTATCGCCCACTTTTGTTCATTTGTAAATTTCCTGCTCAGGTGATCTGCTACAGTGTTCTGCAGTCCTGGTAGGTGCATGGCTGTAAGGGTGATCTGGTGGTGGATACACCAATTCCACAGCTGGATCGCTTCCAAACATAGAGGAGGTGATCACGCGCCTCCTGACCTGTTCACATGGAACATCGCTGTGGTGTTCTCTGTCAAACGAAACATTGTGAGTTCTAAGACATTAATGTGAAAACGAGTCTCCTCTCGGGACCACAAACCCTGAGGCTGATATTGATTTAGATGTGCTCCCCGGCTAAGGCTGGAAGCATCAGTCTCTAT